TCTCGGCGCCAGAATATTAACCACAGAAAGAATTAGCGTCCGTCAAAAAAGCGCGACCTTTCAATGTCACCCTTCAAAGCCGAACATGGGCTCGAGTGACGGGCAACGCCATGTCACTACAAATTACAAGCCGATTTTAAACTTGCAAACACAATATTCATTACAGATAGAACTAATGTCCATCAAAGAGACCTGACCTTTCAAGGTCATCCTTCAAGGTCAAACCAGGGCTCAAAGGACGGGCAACTCAATATCACCCAAGACTACTGGCCGATTTTAAACTTGCAAACATCAAAATATTCACCACAATCAAACCTAGCGTCCGTCATAAAGCCCTGACCTCTCAAGTTCGGAATTCACGGTCAAATTCAGGCTGAAAAGACGGAAAACTGCAGGCCATCAGAAAATTACTGCCCGATTTTTTAGCTTCCCAGCACCAGAATATACATCACAGAAAGAACAAGCGTCCATAAAGATCCTGACCTATCAAGATCACCGTTCAAGGTCAAACACAGGCTCAAACGACGGGAAACTCCAAAGGACAACCTCTCGCGCTTGTAAATATCTTGATGCTCGCAAGTTAAAATCGACTGGCAATTTTTTGGTATGTGGGACTCCCCTTTCTTTAATAATGAATTTGACCTCGGTCGATGATCTTGAGAGGTCGGGACTTTTTGACGGGCGATAGTTCTTTCTGTGGTGAATATTCTAATCCTGACAACTTTGAAATCGGCCGGTTATTGAGCACATGTGTGAGCTTGAAGGATGACCTTGAGATGTCAGGACGTTTCAACGGACGCTAGCTCTTTTCGTGGTGAATATTCTGATGCCCGAATGTTAAAAAAGTCGGCCGGTAATTTTTTGGTGATATCGAGTTCTACGTCCCTTGAGCTTAAACTTGACCTTGAGAGGTCAGAACTTTTTGATGGACGCTAGCTCTTTCTGTGGTCAATATTATAGTGCTAGTATGTTTAAAATTGGCGGGTAGTTTTTTGGTGATAAGGAATTTCGCCGTGATTTGAACCGCGTTTGACCTTGAAGGATGCTCTTGACAGATCAGGTATTTTTGGCGGACGCCAGTTTTTGCGCTGGTTAATATGTTGATGCTTGCAGATTAAATTCGGCCGGTAGGATGATATGGAGTTCCCGTCCTTTGAGCCTGAATTTGACCTTGAAGTGTGACCTTGGGAGGTCAGGACTTTGCGACGGACGTTAGTTCCTTTCGTGGATAACATTCTGATGTTTGCAAGTTTAAAATCAGCCGAATTTTGTGGGTGATAAGAAGCTCCCCGTCCTTTTACCAGCTTTTAACCTCGAAGGTCACATGATATAACGAAATAAAGGTCGTTTTCGCTATTTTCGCGCCAGAATTGAGCTTTAGACCTTTTACAAAGAAGTCAGAACTCGTTGGTGAATGAATCACTGAATGAATCGCTAACTTCACGGATATTTGGTATTCCCCATATTGTTCATATATGTTGATGGGGCTTAAGCCAGCATTGGGGGCTCTGGCAGTATATAAAGTGAAACCCTTATCTAAGCGCTAAAAGCATTGAACCAAATGGGTCAGCAGGTCCCTGCAGCCACGGCTGCTCCCAGCCCCCTCCCCATTCTTCTATGTTATCTCAACTGCTGGAGGGCACGCATCTCCCCATATTTTTGGCGTCCCAGAAAAAAAAAATGACCAGGAGCACGGAAAGTAGTTAGACTAGGGACTCCACAACAATGCAGTGTCACTCACATAATCAACGCGATCCACAGACTTTGCAATTGTCCCAGCGAGCGCATGCGGCATAGTCGGGAAAATGAGTGACGAGAGGGGTTGGGGGGGGGGGGGGGGGGGGACCCCGCGAAAACATGATGAGCATCCCAAAATTCGCCACAAAACGGGTTCCTTTCGGATTTTGCCCACTTTTCTCTCAAATTGGGGGGGGAGGGGGCTGGAGCCCTTCAGCCTCCCTCTTCCCTAACTGAATAGGTACCTACACCTGGATCATCACGTTTCATACCAATGCAGCCTTCTTGATGCTTCGAAATTAGCGGTTGAGCCCACTCAACATGAATCTGGGCCACTTCAGACGAGACGGACGCAATGTTTAAGAGCCATCCAAACGTTCCTTACCCATCCCACGAGATTGACGGACGTCTCCTTATTGGTTTTAGCGACACCAACAAAGACTTGAGAAAGGGTGTCAGGTGTGCGATGGGCGTCAGGTGGGTTATAAAACCAGTTGAACAAGGTGGGGCGGGCGCAGGAACCGGGGTATAATGAAAGCCAGGAGCAGGACAGCAAGGGGACGCTGAAGTAGAACTGTGACAGGTTGAAATTCGAGTCGAATTGGCCAAAAAGCGCGCGCGACCATTTTCAGTCAAATCCAGCTGGAGATTGCATTGAATTTGCGTGTTTGCTCATGAGCCGGTCGCGGATCAGCAGCCTACCTGAGAGTTCAGACTAAGCAAAAAAAGCAGCGTTTACGCTGCACACGCTGATCCCATCTCGTATTCAGATGAACCGCTGAACAGGCATGCAAAGATCAAACATACAAGGGGGCCCAGCATAGGCAGGGAGAAGGCCACCAGCATGACCGGCTTTCCGTCTTTAGATTGAGCAGCCGGCCCCGACTGACCTAAAGCCGCATCAGGCCCTCAGTTCATATCGAACATAGCAAGAAAAACGTCCCCGCATCCGCAATAGGCAGGACTTCCACGTGTGTCATTAGGACTATAAAGCGACACAGTTTACTGGGGCTATATGACGTCGCCTACCTTCTCACCCCGGCAGGGAGGCCTGGGCCACCGCAGGGAATCAGCACCCCGAAACCTTTGGTCTCTCACACATCCCCGTTCCCGGCGTGTTGAACTAAAGGAACATTGTGAGAAGTGTCACTGGCATGTTGCCAACACGCATCCGTTGGGCACTCACAATAACTTCTGAAACTAAACACCCGCAAAACGCCCCCAGTTACTGAGCTTCGTGACGGGCTTCGGGTTTTACATCTGCAGCTGGTTGTAACCAAACGCTTGATGGCCTGCATAGCTACTAAGCCATAGATCAGCGACAAGCCAATGAGCGCTCGGGCCGGAAACGTGGCTGACAGTTCCTCGCGCTGGGCGGGCAGGGGCTCCCACTTATTTGAGCATCCCCATTTACGCAGAAGTTTGCAGCCACAGCAGAAATCGACAACTGCTTTCGATTTTGAAGACTCTTGCGCCATCGGTAGCCCACGATGCTTTGACTCGCTGCGCAAAGGTATTTCACGGGACATCAAGCTGTTTGACCTTCGGGAGTCAGAAAAGGTCAGCCGTGAAATGCCCATCAAATTGTATACAAGGGGCGGATCCAGGATTTCGTTAAGAGGGGTTGGGACCGCATGCCATTACGGGCACCCCTGGATTTTGGGGCTCCCTCCCAAAAAATAGCCTTGCATATCGGTCCTTACATTTTGGGACAAGGTTTTATACACACACACACACACACACACACACACACACACACACACACACACACACACACACAACCAACACACCACACCACCACACCACACCACACCACAACACACACACACACATCACACGCACACACACACACACACACACACTACACACACACACACACACACACACCACACACACACACACACACCACACACACACACACACACACACAATATTGATGTATGTACACTATTTACTCCTCATTTATTCAATAAAGACGGAAACCCGTCTTACCGTACGCAGCCCTATAAAGCATAAGCGTGCTACGCACGCATACGCATAGAGCTCACCTCATTTCTACAGATAATTTTAATTGCTGTGATTTTGAGGCTAAGTGTTTCGGAACAATAGGCGAAATAGATTTGATTTGGCTGCTAATACCATCAAAACCAACCATGGACTTGATTACTAGCTTATGTATTTGCGGCTAGCCGGCTGGGCGAGTGTAATCAGCTGATGGCTGATGATTAATGCAGAATTTTTCCTTTGTTATTGAGGAGTACAACATACTAAAGCATTCAAATATGTTAAGAAAATGATGCACCAGTGTATTAGGTGTCCACGCACTCAAAAGCCAATGGAAATGTTACATACGACGCCGGCAGCATGTAAAGTTACGTTCGGCAATCGCGCGTAAAAATTCATTGGCACGATTCGACTGCTTCCTCTAAGGCGAAGGCACCAGGGACAATAGGGACGGAACCTGAGCGATCATGGGTTCCGCAGGAGGCCAATACATCTGCTCCCGTCAACAAGTATAGCGCCCTCAGAGCAAGCAAAAAGAACACAAGACCAGCGTGGTGGGCCCCTAAATGACCGATGGTGTCTCGCTAGGCTGACATATAAGGCCCCGCCATGGCAAAGGACCCTCTGGGCAAATGAGAATTATCCAAGACCATGACCTAATACCCCTGTGCGATCAAGAGTGCATGGGCAGGTTAACAACACGAGCCTCGATAAGAGTGAAGAGTCCTCCGCAAATGAGACCAAAGGGAGAGAGCCCTCGATCAAAGTAGAGGGCCTCTGAGCATCAAGTGTCTCCGTGCCTTACGTTATAAGAGTCCTAGCAACAGTGCAAGGCTCTCCAAGCAAGTGGAAAGAACACTATACTTGTATGAAGGGCCCCTGAGCAACTGAGTGTACCCTGGCATATGGGACCCCCGCAAATAGTGAATAGAGCCTTTCGGGCGAATGGGAAGAATCCGTGGAGGAAAACCTGATGGATCAACAATGCTCAGGGACGGGGGCAGATAGCGTCCCAACAGCGCATTGAGCCCTACGATAAAATGCAAAGAGATCAAAGACAACATGGAAAGTTCCTTAGAGATCACATTGGCGCGCCAAGTGAACATATAGGGCCAGACATCCAACGGCGTAATGCCTCTAGACAGTGTGATGAGCCCCAAAATTTCCCACAAGCAACACTCACTCAATCCGCGAAAAATGAACTTTATTTACTTATGAACTCTTTACTTTTGCTAGCGATGGTTCTTGGTTGTCTGTAGGCCCAAAGGCATCCAATTTTGCTATTTTTTGTTTTAAGAAAACTGCGTACGCCCGGCCGGTTATGGGCCCATTCGTAGCCTTTAGGTACCTTCGACATGGTCTATGGGGGATTGGCCCCGTGCCGCCCCCCCCCCCCTCCCCCAATCTGCATCCGCCATCGGCCCGAGCAGCTGAATAGGTGGGGCCCACCAAGAACATAGGGCCCTCCATTCAAATAAGAAATACTCGCGACGCAATGTGTGGGGTTCTGAGCGATCGAGCGCGCCCGAGCAGGTTAACATCAAGGTCTCCGTCAAGAACGTGAGGCCCTCCATTCAAATAAGAAGTACCCAAAACCCGGTGCGGAGGGCCCCCGAAAGATGGAGTGTACCCAAACAGGCTATCAGATGACCCGGATGAGAGCAGACGGCCCTAAATTCAAACACCAAGAACCAATGTGCAGGGCTCCCGAGCAATGCAGTGTGGTCGAGGAGGCGAACAGAGAATGTCCCCGACAAGTGTGTAGGGTCCCATTTCAAATAGCACGTGCCCAAGGCCCTATATAGAGGGCCCCCGAACGATCAAATGTGCCCGAGCAGGTTATGAGGTAGGACCCCGACAAGATCAAAGGCCCCTGCCCCCCATTCAAAAAGAGGTACCCAAGACCAAATGTAGAGGGCCCGCGAATGATCGAGTGTGCCCGAACAGGTTAACAGATAAGATTCCCCAGAAAGCGTAGGGCCCTCCATTAAAATAGGAAGCATTCCAGACACGACGCAGAGGACCCCCGAACGATCCAGTGCGTCAGAGCAGGTTGCCATATAGGGCCCCAGTCAAGAGCGTAGGGCCCTCCATTGAAAAAGGAAGTACCCAAGACCCAGTGTGGAGGGTCCCCGAACGGCTGGGTGTGCCCAAGCAGGCCATCAGATGGGCCCCCGACAAGACTGTAGGGCCCCAAGCAAGTGACAGAGAATTGGAAACGCCCTAGACCAATGTAGAGGACCCATGAGCATATCGCAAGTGTGTCGGTAGGTTAACCGAGACCCATGTAAACGGCCCCTAAGCTACCGAGAATATCCCGGCAGGTTAACATATGGGACCCCGGCTATAGCTCACAGAGCCTTTCTGGCGAATGGAAAGAATCCGTGGAAGGACCCGTGATTGACAAGAGTGTCCCAGCATGCTAACAAGAAGGGCCCCAACAACAGCGCAGGGCCCTCCGAGCAAATGCAAAGAAATAAAGGGCAACGTGGAATGCTCCTTAACGATCGAAATGATCATGCAAGTGGACATATAGGCCCCCGGAAACGGCATGGGGCCCCTAGGCAGTATAATGAGGCTTAAAATTTCCAGTTCACAGCGTTTCCAATCATTGAATGAGTTTTTTGACTTCTCATAGGCACTCTTCTTTCACTTATGACTGGTCTAAGCCGCCTGAAAGTCCAGAGATACCCCGTTTTGTTGCGTTTTGTGTTAAAAAAACTGCACCTGTTTGGCCGGCCATGAACCCCTCAGAGCAAATGGACCCGTTCGGGGCCCAAGGGGGGGGGGGGGCATGACCCCGTGCCACCTCTTTGGATCCGCCCCTGTTGTATACTATATACACCATCCAGCCTGAAGTGTTGTACACGTTCAAAAGATGTCAAACAGGTATGTAATGTAGAATAAGATGAGACGAACAAGTCGACATATCGATGTCGACTGATGATGAACACAACCGTGATGATGGTGATGATGATGAACACGGCTGTCGACATATCGATGGAACATACGCGGTCTGAAAAAAATGTCAGTCATATTTGCTCAACAAAGATCAACATCAACATTAACAACAACAGATTTAGCCGTAGCGAGAACATCTGCGTCAAAAGCTGAACGCACTCTGCACGGGCTGTGCAAACTTACATCCATTATCTCACTATCATCACCATTCTATCATAATATCATCCATTACCTCACTACATCAACATTAACAACAACAGATTTAGTCGTAGTGAGAACATCTGCGTCAAAAGCTGAACGCACTCTGCACGAGCTGTGCAAACTTACATCCATTATCTCACTATCTGCCCACTTTGCAAACGCCTATTGCAGGAATGCGTATTCATGCGTGATATCTTGCATCAAACGTCAACCTCCATGACAGCTTTAAAAAGCATCAGCCCTAAAATAGTATATGAGCTGTCGATTGACATGCACTTAAAAGATGTCACTGTGGTGAAAAATGTCATTTTCTAGAACAAGTCATGTGCCGCCAGTGCACCATTTTTACGTCATGGCCTCTATCGGAGCTATATAAACTTTGGCCAGTGATTATGCAACGTTCACAACACTATTGCGAATAAGATTACGCCTGCTGAGGGTTTGTCGTTGCCGTCATGCGCTGGCGCCGTCCCCTACCAGCTGCTGGCCATGCCGCAACGGTACGCTGCCGACCTCGTCGCTGGGCGACCTGTCGCTGGCGCTGGTGCTGACTTCGCCCAGCTCTCGGAAGAACCGGATGCCGACGGCGAGCCATAACCAGAGCAGCGACATGACCAGCAGACCCAGCGTAAGCTGGCTACTGGTCAGCTCGTTGTTGAAGACCGTCAAGAACAGGAAGAGTATTGCCGTATGCACGGCGCATGCCACGCCGTGGTAGACAATCCAGGCGAACACGAGACCTTGTGCGCGCCGTCGGGCGCCGCATACCAGCAGGCTGTTGAAGACCACATGGACCACGAGGCAGGTCGCAGAGGCGGCCACACTCCCCCAGAAAACCGCCTGCGATCCGGCATGAGCTTTTTCGGCGAGAGGAGCCAGCCAGACGAACACTGCTCCTATCCCTATGATGTACAGCGTCAGTAGTGAGCCTCCAATGACAATCGCACCGCACCGCAGATTTAAACAAAAGCAGGAGCGCCTCTTGGAGAGCATGCTTGCTGACTGGTCACTGGCAGCCGCGGTTCAAAGGCAGTGATCAACGCGCCGACGACGTGCACCGCGAGCGCCCCCGCCCGCAACACTGAGGGCGCCCCCCGTCAGAGCGCAGCGCGCCTTGACCAATGGCAGCGCTGCGGATGTGTGACGTAATCGGGCAGGCCAAGGCTTAGCAGAAGGATGCACTGGAACGGCTGGCAGCGGAATGGCCAGCCGGTGCGGCGTGAGCTGCGGTGAAACTACCTTCTCAGTAGAGGCGGGAGAGGGGGAAGGGTTAAAACCCTAAAGCCTCGAGTCCTCACCAACGCTGAGAAAAGGCGGTGCACAAGCCAATTTGATGGCAATTTTTGTGCTAGGTTGCGTCATTTTCATTGCTCGGCCCCCACCGCCTCCCAACTTATTTTGCGAAACTACATTCCAGGTCGCGAGCACGAAGGGCAGAATGTGTCCAGTCCAGCCGAATTTAATAGGGGTTCTACATCGAGTTCATGGTTACCCACGAAAAGAATTCGCTTCGAAAGGATATTAGGTCCACCTGGCTCTTGAGACGCTCCTTCGCCCCTGCGTGCAGTTACGCCACGAGGTTCGGAAAAGGACGTGTGGCACAGTTGGTGTGGACGTCTGCTTCGGCCGTCCTGAGATCGCTGGTGAGAGCTGTGATCTGATGCAGGGGCGGATCCAGGGGGGGGGGGAGCGGAGGCACGGGGCCATGCCCCCCCCCCCTCGGACCGCGAAGGAGCCTATTGGCTCTGAGGGCCCCATGGCCAGCCGAACAGGTGCAGTTTTTTGGACACACAACACAAAAAACTAGGTATCTCTAAACTTTTAGGTGACCAAGAACAGTTATAAGCGGAAGTGAATAATAGTTAGTTATAATCGTTCGGGGGTCCTCTGCGTTGGGTGTTGAAAGCTTTCTATTCGAATGGAGGTCCCTGCGCTCTTTTTGGGAACCTTATCTGCTAATCTGCTTGGGCACATTCGATCGTTCGGGACCCTGTACATTAGGTCTTGGGTACTTCTTATGCGAATGGGGGGGGGGGGGAGGGGCCTACACTGTTGTTGGGACCTATCTGATAACCTGCTCGGGCACATTTGATCGATCGGGGCCCTCTGCATTGGGCCTTGGGCACGTGCTATCTGGATGGGGCTCTACGCTCTTGTCGGGGGCCTCCTCTGTTCGCCTCCTTGGCCACACTGGATTACTCGGGGGGCCCTGCACATTGGTTCTTGGTGTTTAAATTTACCTCTGCTCCCATCCGGGTCATCTGATAACCTGTTGGCGTACACTCCATCTTTCTGTGGCCGTCTGCACCGGGTTTTGGGTACTTCTTATTTCAGTGGAGAGCATTACGCTCCCGTTGGGGCCCCTTCTGATCAGATAATCGTTCCTATTCAATTGTAGGTGACCTCTACATCCGGTTTTGGGTACTTGCTTTTTGAATGGAGGACCCTCAGGTTTTTCGGGGGCCCTATCTGTTAACCTGCTCCGGCGCACTCGATTATTCTGGGTCCTTTACATCGTGTCGTGGGTATTTCATATTTGAACGGAAGACCCCACACTCTTGCCGGGGCCTCATCTGATAATCTGCTTGGGCACAGTCGAATATCCGGGGCCTCTTTACCTTGTGTTTTGGGTACTTTCTATCTGAATGGAGAGCCCTGCGCACTTATCGGGGACCCCATCTTCAGCCACACTGGATTGTTCGGGGCCTATTTATTGGGTCTTGATGTTTCAATTTAAGACCCCCCAGACCCCTGTCTAGGCTACCTGATAATTTGCTCGGGTACGCTCCATCTTTCGGGGGCCCTCTGCACTGGGTTTTGGCTATTTCTTATTTCAACAGAGTGTCCTATGCTCTCGTCGGTCCTCTTCTGATAAGCTGCTCGGGCACATTCCATCATTCTGGGGCCATTTACATGGGGTCTTCGTGCCCCCCATTCGAATGGAGTGCCTTACGCTCTCGTTGGGAGCCCTAATATGCTCGGGCACACTCGACCATTCGGGGGACCGTCCACATTGGGCCTTGGGTACTTTCTATTTTAATGGAGGGCCCTACACTCTTGACGGGGGCCTTATATGTTAACCTGCTCGGGCGCACTCGATTGTTCAGAGCTCTGCACATTGGGTAGTGAATATTTCTTATTTGAATGAATGACCTTATGTTCTTGGCGGTCCCATCTATTCTGCTGCTAAGGCCGGTGGCAGATGCAAAGGGGTGGGGGGAGGCATGGAACCATCCCCCATGGACCATGTCGAGGGTACCTAGGGTCTCCGAAGGGGCCCATAACCGGCCGGACGGATGCGGTTTTCTTACAACAAAAACACAACAAAATTGGATGCATTTGGGCCTACAGACCACCAAGAACCATTGTTAGCAAAAGTAAAGAGTTCATAAGTAAACGAAGTTCATTCTTCGCTGATTGAGAAAGTGTTGCTTGGGGTTCATTTTGGGGCTCGTTGCGCTGTCTAGAGGCATTATGCTGTTGATTGCCTGGTCCTATATGTACACTTGGCGGGCCAGTCTGAACGCTAAGGAGCTTTCCACGTTGTCCTTGATCCCTTTGTATTTTCTTGTAGGGCTCATTGTGCTACTGGGACGCTTTCCGCCTCCATGCCTGAGCACTGTTGATCGATCAGGTTTTCCTCCACGGGTTCTTCCCATTCGCCCGAAAGGCTCTATACAATTTTTCCGGGGGCCCATACGCCAGGGTGCGCTCAGTTGCTCAGGGGCCCTTCATATAAGTCTCGGGTTCTTTCCACTTGCTTGGAGGGCCTTGTGCTGTTGCTAGGGCTCTTATAAGATAAGGCACGGAGACACTCGATGCTCAGGGGCCCTCTACTTTGATCGAGAGCTCTCTCCCTTTGGTTTCATTAGCGGAGGACTCTTCGCTCCTATCAAGGCTCGTGTTGTTAACCTGCCCGCGCACTTTTGATCGCACAGGGGTATTAATTCATGGTCTTGGATAAGGCTCCTTTGCTCGGAGCGTCCTGTGCTCCGGCCGAGGATTTATATGTCAGCCTGTCGGGGCACTCCCGGTCGTTTAGGGGCCCACCACGTTGGTCCTGGCTTCTCTTCGCTTGCTCTGAGGGCCCTATTCTTGTTGACTGGAGCCAATTCGTTGGCCTCCCGCGGCACCCACGATGGTTCAGGTTGCGTCCCTCCGTCCCTATTAGCCTTGGTGCCTTCGCCTTAGAGCAGCATTCGAATGTGTGCCGATGAATTTTTACGCGCGATCTCCGAACGTAACTTTACATGTCGCCGACATCGTATGTATCATTTGCATTGGCTATTGAGTGCGTGACACTTATTGCACCAGTGCATCATGTTCTCAACATAGTCTGAATGCTTTGGTAGGTTGTACTCCTCGATAACAAAGGAAAAATTATGCACTGATCATCAGCCATCACCTGACTGCATCGCCCAGCCGGCTGGCCGTAAATACATAAGCTAGTAATCAAATCCATGCTTGGTTTTGATGGTTGTTAGCAGCCAGCTCAAGTCTATGTCGCCTGTTGTTTCGAAATACTTGGCCTCAAAATCACAGCATTTAAAATGATCTGTAGAAAATGAGTGAGCTCTACGTGTATGCATGCGTAGCACACCTATGCTATATAGGGTTGTGCACAGTAAGGCAGGTTTCCATAATTATAAAATAAATGAAAAAGTAAAAGTAAATATAAATGTATATACCTATGCATATACCCATATATACCTATCTATGCCGATATATATATATATATATATAATATATAATATAATATATATTGCATACGACTTGTCTTAAAATGTAATGACCGAAATGCAACAATATTTTTTGTGAGCGGGCCCCAAACTCGAGAGGGCCCCACAATGTCCCGTGCCCCCCCCCCCCTAACGAAATCCTGGACCCGCCCCTGATCTGATGATCACGGCTGCGGTAATTACCGCCGCTGACAACCCGCGGCCACGAAAGATCCCATGGCTCTAAGCCGTCACATGTCATACCTGTTATCACGTGACGCCCCTGTAGCCCAAGCCTTCTTTTCCGAGTATGACGGCATTGAAAGGCGCATGGTTCTTGAGAAAGTCTCATAATACAGCCGTCAAAAAAACCACATTACCCATGGAGGGGGAGTCAGCAGGGGGGGGGGGGGGGGGGGGGGACGGAAGCGTAACAAGCGAGGTTGAGTGAGGTTCTGAATAGCATAACATTACGTCTGCCGTTTGATCAGAGAAGTGACTAAGCCTAAGCAATCCTTGGGTGGGGGACTGGGACGTCACTGCAGAGTTAGATGCCGGTGACTATAGCGATGGCTGGAGCCGGCACTCAGAAACAAACTGGTACTCAGCAGGTGACAAACTGATTATTGAGGCGCCAAACCATTGAACCAATGGGGTATGGGTCCCCGCAGCCACGCCCCCCCCCCCCCTCCCGCCCTCCCTCTTTTCCGCTGTTCGTATCAACGGTTGGAGAACACGCCACCTTCCCATGTTGTCAGCGTCCGTGAAAAAAAAAAACAGCCAGGGGCCACGGAAAGTGGTCGGACTCGGAATCCCACAGACATTCACCGTCACTCACATAACCAACGCGATGCACACGCAGATTATGCGATCGTCACTTCTCATACCGACGTATTTCGGCACCCTTTCTTACAATACTTCAAGGGAAGGGTTCACATTTGTATGACGTTTTGAACTGAAATAGCCACCTTGAAGACATTTTGATGCAGTTCACGGATATGCCCTTTCTAATACCAAAAACGCTCTGGTTCCCGAGTTACACGCCCCCAAGTTACGAAAAGGCTTATTTAGATCCTATTTCAAAATCGCCTTCTGATTAATGACGCCATAGACAGGTCATTAAATCCCCGTGACATTACAGGCTGTTTTTTGTTTATGGCCAAAACAGCACGGCCGCTGATATATTCGCAAAGGCAATGGTGCTGCACATGTGTTACAGATGAGTGGCTGTTAGTAAAGATTTTACTGCTGAATGCGTGTCGCGAACTTAAGCGTGAGCAATTTCGGGTCGTGCGGCACTCGTCGACGGGGCATTTTTCCCCACTCCTAGGCAGTGCCCTATTCGCACCGGTGCGAGATTCCCAACAGAAAGTGTTGTGTGTGTGTGTGTGTGGTGATCGCAGGACAAACGAGAATCATTTGACTGTGTTCGCATAAGTACCTCGCTCCCATTCTATTAAAAACACTTCGCGCCGAATATGTCTGGCGTATCACCGACATCGCAGCAATAAGTTCAGGATGGGCAGGTGGAACCTGTCGCTTGAATTCGGGCCACTTCAGTCAAAGCAGACAGCATTTAAGGGCCATCCAATCCTATCCCATCCTATCCCACCAGATGGCGGAAGTCTCGCCATTGTTTAGAAGCACCGACAAAGACCTGATTTCCCGTGACATCCAGAAACGTTTAAGCAAGACTGTGACACTTGGAATGCAAATGGTCTATTTCACTTCAAAGCCCCATACAAGTGTGAAACACTCCCTTTAAAAATGACACCATGCCCGAGCGTGTGAGTACAGGCAAACATCTTTAACAAACGCTCGCATCCCGAAGGTTTTCCCGGACTTTCTTTTCCGAACGGCGCGGCGCAACCGCACCAAATTTTGATGACTGTAGACAATTGAAAAGCAAGTCGTTTTGTGTCAAAAATTAAGTGTACCTTTTAGGGTCGCTGGCCTACAGTAGGTCAAGGTCAGGCCATGCATTCAGCGAAGACAATTTTTAGAGAGTCCGGTGATGATGATGATAATGATGATGATGTATAACCGTTACCACGCGTTGATGACTCGCACCAAACCAGACCATGCATGAGCTGATCCAGCTCCATAAACACCACATTTGTGTCATCATGACCTTGGAAAGGTCAAACAAGTTCACTGCGCCAGCGTCTTTTTTCTTGCAACAGACCGGCGGGTGCATAGTGGTTGCATGAGAAGGTTTCGGGGCAATTCGGACGCCAATCTGGATTTTAATCTTGTTCAATCACGCTTGACCCAAAGTTCATGGCACAGGAACCTCAAATTTTGACATCAGTGACTTCAGGTACAGGCCAACACACTTTGTGAATCTGGTCTCTCTAGCTCTCTCAGTTTCTGGGACGTAAAGGAGTCAAATAAACCCCCGAGCGAAGGGTATTCAACCGGCTGGCGGGGCGCGTGTAAACTCACGAATAAAGTAATGCAATAACATCACTAGAAAGTGCCAAAACACTAGCACATTCTACATTTGGATCAGCGAACGCTTCCAGCGCGTGCCACCATCTCTCGATGAGCTCGAAGTACTACAATGAAGTGACTAGTTTGACAGGGTAGTTTAACACGGCCAGTTGGCAATACCGCAACGTAATACAAAGGTTAAATGACGCAAGCAAGCACATAAGGAACGACATATTGAGGAGCCTATTCACTGAAAAGGGAAGCATTGTTCTCCACTGAAAAGTATATCTGCAGCTATAAGCTGGCTTATTTCATCACATCTGATGCTTGCTTCGAGATCTTCAGATGTTAAACGATCCTATCACTTAACGAAAGCCAAGTATGTCAAACTGTCCGTCTCACTCTCGCTTTCTCTCCCTCTCTCTCTCTCTCTCTCTCTCTCTCTCTCTCTCTCTCTCTCTCTCCTCTCTCTCTCCTCTCTCTCTCTCTCTCCTCTCTCTCTCTCTCTCTCTCTCTCTCTCTCTCTCTCTCTCTCTCTCTCTCTCTCTCTCTCTCTCTCTCTCTCTCTCTCTCTCTCTCTCTCTCTCTCTAAAAAATGACAGTTTTAAAACAATTGGGGTCATAGTTTCCGAGATGAAAGGCATCTGGGTACTTGGCTGTGAAATAGTGTTGTAAGAGAGCGCGAATTTAACGCGATTGTGGCGCAATTTCCAGCATTCGAGTCTGCATCTGCGCACAACAGTATTTGAATTAGTCGGGTGAGGGATGGCTTTGTTGCGGGAATATTAGCATAGCGACCGAGTTAAGACGGAGAAGGGCAGGCTGACAGTACTGAAACACCGCCGGTAAGGCTAAAAGAGGCATTCTTTGCGCGTATGCCGGTGGCTGGCTGCTGGTCTGATATGTCTGAGTGTGGGGCAATTGTATGTGTTTGAAAAGGTCGATATCTTTAATATCCGAAGTTTAAAATCGTTGGCAAATACTTCCGGTGGAAAAAGTTAAGAACTCAATTGAAGTCACATTTTGTACTTCATAGATAATTTAATAGTAATTTGCATGATTTTTACAATGGGAAATGGTACTTCAATGCTTATTTGGTTTTTTGTCTGACCTGATTTAAAATCATATAGGCGTGAGATGTAAGTGGGTCATGCTATACATTGGGAACTAATGTTAAAAATGAGCATTCTACATCAATCATCATTTTAAGGGCAGAATATGTGATACAAAATAATCAGTTACATCTATACTCTTACCTTTGAACTTAATTGTGATGAACATCCAAGCGCTGTAAACTGCAAACACACGGAACCACAACCTCGGCACCAGTGCTACATCATTGGTGTGTGGTCACAACATCATACATCAAGAACCATGCAAATGTATGAGGCCAAGGTAACAAGAATGCAATGAAATATTTTCTTATGTATCCAAGCAGTTGAGTGATAATTCTGGCAGATCAACCGGGGTTTGTTTTCTCAAGATGGAGTTTTCTCTGTACTGTTTGTAGATTGGTCAAAATGGTGGGCAAATATGGCATCTAAATATGGTTGGATTATGACATGGAATATGATCTTGGATGTCAACAGGAGATGGGTTGAAAGGGGATAGGGTGGGGAGGTTAGGTTAGGCTAGGCTAGGCTAGGCTAGGCCAGGCCAGGCCAAGTCAGGTCAGGTCAGGTCAGGTCAGGTCAGGTCAGGTTAGGTCATCTGGGCCCCTGCTCTTGAAATCTGGTAATACTAAGTCCCTAAACAATCCCTTGATCAGGCAGCTGACTCCAATGGTTACTACCTTCATGCTGATAAAATTAATTGTGATCCAGTGTTGCTGTGGTTTATCTAGCCTGCCATAAGATACTTTGTTGTCTCAGATAAAATGTATCTCAAATTCATATTTCATGTAGCATTCACTATATGGTCATCTGGCAGATCAGCAAGCATCATTGTAGGACTATTTGACAATGCTCATGTTCATTCCAGGTGATTTTCTCACCACAAAGTAAGCAACCAACTTGATGCCATTGCACGAATAGTATGATGGCTGAATTGAAAACCAGGTTAAGAACATAACATACAATGCACAGCAAAGTTATGAGCCTGAGTACATCTACATCAATACTTTTTATTTCATCCTTCTTTCTGCCCATCTCTGTGTGTTATTGCTGTTGTGCAGTACAAAAGCCAATACCAGCAGTTGCATGGCTCAGGGAGTGATCTACACTCAAATTGTAGCATGTATGCCATATGTGTTGAGTGTGCCCTCCACCATATGGGAGTTAATGACAGTACACTCTCCCATGCCTTGGAAGGCAACCAAAGCTGACAGCTTTCAGTGGAAAACTGAGGTACCAATGCATCTATCAAAGACAAACCCAGTTGATTTTATGACAGTTTTTCATGCACTTTAATTAATTACCTGTGAGGCACCATGCATTATGTGCTGATCTTGTTTGCAAAAATTGTGTACTGGTGGTGCAGCTATCTAGGATATTCCACTGTCTTTGTGGTATGTGATAGCCCACTTATTCCTACTTTTTTGCCAACAGGATTGTTTTCTGCTCCAATCCTTTGATACTCCTGCCCAATCAACCTGCTTTATGGCTAAGGAAATGTCCTGGTCCAGAATGTGTATACATATATATATATATATATATATATATATATATATATATATATAACCACCACTGGAGTCAATCCCTAACATGCTGGCAGATTGAACATTTTTGTGTTTTGACTGCATAAAATGGCATCAAAACAGAAATATACCCCAGTCACATTTAAGGTGTGGTAACCTCTGCACACATGTCTAAAGGGCAGCACTTAACTTGCAGGGTCTGCACAATGTCAAGAAGCTGGAAACATGACCCTGCAAACCCTTGCAGCAGTACAAAGAGCTCGCTGCAGACAAGGACAAGGCATCACTTCTGGCCAAGGACAGCACAGTCGTGCAGTTCCTGGCCTACGTGCTGGAGGACCGCGACGACCAGATCGTTGGGGTGGCGCTGGAGACGCTGCTGCTGCTGTGCGAGGCCGAGTCGTCGCGGCGCCAGCTGCAGCAGACGTACGGTCTAGTGCAGGCGCTCGAGTGTCTGCGCATGAGGGATTGCCCGGCGGCCGTGCTCTCGCAGACCGAGGCGGCACTGGCGCACCTGCGGCGGCCGGAGCCGGGCCAGCAGGACAGGCAGGCCGCCCGACACCGGCCGCGGCCGCCCTCGCGCCGCAGCAAGGTCGTGACCCTGCACGTGACCGGCCTGGTGACGCCCGAGGACCGCGACGCCCTGGAAGCGGCGCTGGTGCGCGTGCGCGGCCTCGTGTCGATCGTGTACGACATGGGCCGCGGCCGCTGCACGTGTCGCGTGCGCGAGCACGTGTCGGTGGCGGCGCTGGGCGGCGCCGTGGACAACACGGAAAACATGGCCGCGTACCACGTGGTGCGTCGGATCACGGCCGATGGTGAGGAGGAGCAGCTGGTGGCCGTGTCGGAGCGCGCGCGTGCCAGTGAGCAGGCGCGGCCAGAGCCGCCGCCTGAGTACCTGCCCGAGGACGACCCCGACGTGACGCCTGGCGATGGTGCCGTCGCCACCGGAGACTTCTTCAAGTCGGCCACCGGCTGGCTGTCGTCGGCCAGCTCTTACCTCAGCTCGGCCTTCTACTGGTGACGAGCTGGAGTAGGGGCACTCATCTGGTGACGAGCTAGTACTTGGGCCTCGCTACGGGTGACAGGGTGTGGGCGCGCTTCTGTTGGGCTAGTGTCCAACGCGCTCTCGGCATTTGTCTGGTGACGACCTGGTGCCAGTGCTCTCTCCTCGCCTGGTGACGAGTGCCCTGTCGCCAGTGCGCTGTCGTCGCGCTCTGACTTGGCAGTGCCGATCTGATGGGCGCCTGGGAGCGGCGCGCAGAGGGGATGTTAGAGAGCCGGGCTCTCCGCCGATGCGTGGCGAGCTCCCGGGGGGACCAGCAGTGTGATGAACTCTTGCCGGACTGTGTGTGCGTGTGCGTGTGCGTGTACGAATTCCAATCATGTCGGCGGGACATTGCAATGGTAAATATATGCGGGATGATGGTGTGTTAGTTGTACCGAGCCGTTACGTCAGTTTCATCCGTCTAGGTGATGACGCGGTCCTCTCAGTATTGCGACGGATCTGAAGTAATCCGGAACCCATCACGCGACTCAAGTGGAGATGGGCTTCTCCAACAGTCGTCCAAAACCCCTCACTGCACCGATTGACGACCTGCACGCTGTTGGCTCAGCGGGCGCATCGTAAGCTCTGTTCCACGTGGTTTTCGGGGCAAGTGCAAGTGGCACCAGTCTTGGCAGTAGTGCAGATGTCTAGCCTATGGGGCGTCTAAGCACCTCTGCAGTTTGTACTCGCGCCGAAGCGCTATTTACCTAACTGTTCTTCCTCTGTCTACCTTCCTATGACGGTATTTATTGTTGGGGTGTAGATGTATTTGAAAAACACGCTTGATTGTCGGACGTAAAATAAAAAGGCCATCAAAAGTTGCCTTTAAATCAATCATTGGTGGTGGATGCGCATGATGCAGTATTGTACACGTGTTCATTCAGGAAATATGTCTGTGTCGTTCATGGTGCCAGATAAACATGGAAATCAAAGCTGTATTACCAGCAGAAAAGTCGAACAAGTTATAGCAGTCGCATCACCGTGCATCCCTCCTGGCATGCCGGACGCGATAGCTGGTCACTTCAGGGCCCTGGGGCCTTCTTTCTCGCCAGACTTCTTCTGCGTTTGGACAGTCTTTTCCCCGATACGTTCTTCATACTCACCGCATGGGTCTTCATTTGAGGGTCTGAATGGACTGACCTCTCTGGCGACCTGCACTGGGCTGGCTCTGACGGGCGCCTGGGCACCGCGGCCGCCGCTTCGCCGCGAACGCCGTTGGACTTGGGCGCCCGCTTCTTCTTGCCCGTGATCGAGCTTGCCTTGTTTTTCGGTCCACCTGCCTCGTCGGCGGTCCCGTTCGAACCCCGGCGGCCGTCCTCCCCGGTCACCGGTGACTCCCTCGTAGACTTGGACCGCTTTCGCTTCTTCGGCGGCGGGGGCGCGCCCTCACCGTCAGCCGATCCCACAGTCTTGGCGGTCTTCCCGCCAGCACGTTTTCCGGTTGTGGTCTCCGCTGTCGCCCGAGCCGTCTCCGCGTCGCATGGTTGCCCGCTTCCTGGTCTTGACCTTGTGCTTGCCCGGCCGAGCCTCGTTTTCGGCAGCCCTGACGAACGTCGCCACGAAGAAGCCGTTGCAGAGGTCGTGCTCGGCGCTGGCACGCAGACAGTGCTGGCCGTCGGAGAGCGAGGGCCGGCCGCGGCCGGGCCAGGAGGCCGGCGTCGTGGCCGCCAGCCGCCAGCAGGGCTGAGCCGCCAGCGTGGCCGCCACCACCTGCACAGGCGGGGTCGTGGCGGGTCAGACGAGGTCACGGGCTACGGTGAAGAGGTCGTGACCAGGTTCGCAAAAGGTTACAATGTAAAGAACATGAGCCACAGCTGGGGTCGGGCGTCACCGTGACCAGTGCAGAGGCAACGATTTGGGCTAGACAAGGTCACGACCCAATGTAGTGGAGGATCACGATTATGCCCCGGTTAGCAATTAAGTCTGATGAGTGGACGAGGTCAGGACAAAGACCAGCAGACATCGACATGACCGGCGGTGTCGTAAGCGAGTCACGGCTTGAGCGTCTCTTGCTACCAGGGTACGAGCGCAGTAACGGCGGGGAATTTCCAGCCATTCCATCTCATCAGTCATTCCAGGATGGCCACCACAAAGTTTCCACAACATACGTTACATGATATGATGTTACAACATACGTTACATGATGGACGTGATACGTTACAACCCACTCCGGTGCCGGCTGCATCGCGGCGTAAACTAAAGGAACTCGTAAACCACCGTAACAAAGCTACCACCAAAACCGTCAAGCACGAGAAACGCTCCCCGGCGACGGCCGTGTCCGGCTCGACGCACCTGTTCGTTCTCGCGCTCGGTGACGCTGCAGGTGGAGTAAACTACTCGTCGGACGGCCGGAAAGCTGAGGGCGTGGCGCAGCAGCATGCCCTGAAGATTTGCCAGCCGTTGGAGACGGTCCGCCGACACCGAGTCCGCCGACTCACGGCCTGCCATACCTGGGGACGGCAAGACGTCAGACTCTGGCCTGCCATACCTGGGGACGGCAAAACATCAGAGACTCTGGCCTGCCATACCTGGGGACGGCAAGACGCCAGAGACTCTGGCCTGCCATACCTGGGGACGGCAAGACGTCAGACACTCTGACCTGCCATACCTGGGGACGGCAAGACGTCAGAGTCTCTGGCCTGCCATACCTGGGGACGGCCAGACGTCAGAGACCCTGACCTGCCATGCCTGCGGACGGCAAAACGTCAGAGACTGGCCTGCCATACCTGGGGACGGCCAGACGTCAGAGACTCCCGTTCCGCGTTGATTGGAGGCAGGGAAAGGTCAAGGACTTTGGTCTGCCATGTCTGGAGATGGAGATGTCAGATACTCCCAGTCCGCACTGCCTGGAGACGGGGAAGTCAGGGACTCAGGGACTCCTGGCGCGCGCTGCCTGGAGACGGGAAAACAGAGACTCGCGGCCCAGTGGGCTTGTGAACATGAGGTGTCCGGTGGCCCTGCCGGGTCAATATCTTAAAGGGAATGTTCCACATCTGAAAATACTGAAGCAAGCATCAGATGGTATGAGATAAGCTCACTTTAAACTACTGGTATGCTTCCAGTGAAAAATATTACAATAGACAACACAATTTCTCTATATAGTAAGTATGCCTCTTCATACATCACTGTTTGATTGCGTCATTATACATTTCACAACACAGATTAGGAGCCAATGGAGTCTGTTTTATCTGGGAACGTGCTCACAAACGCCGGGTACGAACAAATTGACGAATATATTTGTCTTGACCTTGATCGCCACACGGCCAATGAATTGGCAGGATTTGAATGACGTAATTACGGCGTCATGGATGCCGAGTAACCTTGCCATAGTCTGCACGTGAACGTCTGCACAACTTCGCGGGCGTGTAACTCAGAAACTAGATGGACTAAGATCTGAAAAAGAGCAGGGCTGTGAACTCCGCCGAGTGATCTTCCAGATGGCTATTCCGGTTCAAAGCCCCATACAACTGTGGACCACTTCCTTTAACAGTGTCTGATTCCGAGCAGGCAACCAATATCCTACCCAGACCTGTGCTGGAGCAGGAGGGTTCAGCAGCGAGGAATCGCCGGAGCAGGAGGCGTCCAGCAGCAAGAGATCATCTGTGCCGAAGCAGGAGGGGTCCAGGAGCGAGGGATCACCTGTGCTGGAGCAGGAGGGGTCCAGCACCGAGGGATCACCTGAACTGGAACAGGAGGTGCTCAGCAGCGAGGGGTCACCTGTGCCGGAGCAGGATGGGTCCAGCAGTATGGCTGTCAGCTGAGGGTGGTCGGCCGGCTGCAGGCGGAGGAAGTCGCCGCAGATGAGCCGGCAGTTGGTGACGCCGGCTCGGCGCAGCATCCGGGACAGCGTCTGGAACCGGGCCTGGTCCCGCTCCACAGCACCAGCGTCCTGCCGACCAGACGCGGTCGGACCGCCAGACGGCGTCACATGGAGAGCGGGTCAAATGGTTGCGCACGGTCAGATGGCCAAGGTCAGATTGACTGGTGGGTGGGTAGACAGACGGGGGCCAGATGGAGAGCGGGGCCAGATGGTGGGCAGGGTTTAGATGGCGGAAAGGTCAGGATGACGTGTGTGGGGTAGACGGACGGGGCCAGATGGAGAGCGGGGGTCAAAATGTGGGCAGGGTTAGAGGCGGAAAGGTCAGATGACTGGTGGGGTAGACGGCAGACGGGGGTCAGATGGCGGGCAAGGTCAAAGGCGGGCAAGAATCAGATGGGCGGGCGGGGTTGGCAAGATACAACATACAGTTCGCATGGATCTCTGGCATTCTGTGGCGCAGATTTCGACTGTTCAACTTTCAGGCCGATCCTCCGAACGCATTGACAGTTACAGTCATGTAAACAATCTAGGTAGCACTACATTGGCGTACTGAGAGGTTCTCCCAAGAGGGATCAAATCGGGGCATACGGGGCCTTTCAGCCAAGGGCCCATTTCGTCGCTATAGAGGCCTTCCTTTATGCTTCGGGGACTCTCAGGCTTGGGACACCACTTTGATGCCTCGATGGCCCGTTTTGGTGTTTTGAAAATCTAAAGGGCGCCTTAAACAGCTGACATGTACTGAGGTTTTTGGCCCTCGGCTCCCCGCCCAGGCACGGAGGGGCGTGGGGGGGGGGGGGGGGAGAGGAGGTATGCCCCCAAAAGCGTCCTTCGCTACGCCCATGTAACTGCCCATCCGTTCGAATTATCAAGCTGGCATTTATACAGATGAAATATACGGCCAATGCTACACTGATCGCGTTCAATCTGATTACATGACGCGTTATTGTAACAGTACTTCATGTTGCAATTCTCTACCGGATCTGCAATCATTCGCTGTTGTTTTGTTGCTGATTTCCGAAATACTCGACCGGGAGGTTGGCAACGCCTCACCTTCCAACACGACAGGTGTTTTTGGTGTGACCAAGACACTTATTCGTAAGTTCTGACCTCCTTACCCCCACCGCACAACCCTGTTTTGAACGTCGCCCGACTCACCCTGTGTTCTGCATCATGGCCCGCCAGCTGAGACGTCTTCATGCCGGGCGCGGCGCACGCGTCCAGGACCTGCTCGCCGGGGGAGGGCGCCAGCGCCAGCGGCGGCAGGCAGCTGGCCTGGCGGGTGCACGGACAGCACGGTCATGACGGCGGCACGGAGCACACGCCGAGGCGGCAGGCAGCTGGCCTGGCCGGCGCACGGACAGCACGGTCATGACGGCGGCACGGAGCACACGCCGAGGCGGCAGGCAGCTGGCCTGGCCGGCGCACGGACAGGCACGGTCATGACGGCGGCACGGAGCACACGCCGAGGCGGCAGGCAGCTGGCCTGGCCGGCGCACGGACAGCACGGTCATGACGGCGGCACGGAGCACACGCCGAGGCGGCAGGGCAGCTGGCCTGGCCGGCGCACGGACAGCACGGTCACGACAGCGGCACGGAGCACATGCCGAAGCGGCAGGCAGCTGGCCTGGCCGGCGCACGGACAGCACGGTCATGAGGGCGGCACGGAGCACACGCCGAGGTGGCAGGCAGCTCTGCACCCGGGGTGCCGTCGCACACGCCGCTATGCGAAAGGGCTCGAGTCTTCCCCGCGTTGTAATAAAAAACTGGATCATTAGTCACGCAATGGCGTAAATCTTACGGTCACCTCTGATGTCCCGCGACGCATCAGTCTTCAGTATTTAAATTTCCTTTTTATTTTAGTACGTTTAGCATTTTTTATCCTCCTGTTGGCATAGGAGGTTACATAGCAAGACACAACACACTAAATTAGCAGCCCCATAGCGCTGGCATCACCTCTGTTCTGTGTCATTGGGGCTTTACGACACACTCAGCTGCTGAGGCTATATAGCGTCGCCTGCCCTTTCACCCTGGCAGGAAGGGCGGACATCCCTGTTCTCTGCTGGTGGAGTCCAGGTGAGTGGTCCAGCGCGGCCTCCGCGCGCGGCCAGCCGGCCGTCGGTGTCTCACCTTGTCCTGCAGAATGAGACAGCCCGCTGCGGTATAGCTGGTGCTCGTGCAGCTCCGTGCCAGCGGCGAACACCAGCAGGGCGGGCACGTGCAGGTCCAGCAGGAACTGAGACGGTCCCAGCGCCTGCCGGCCGCAGCGGTCGCCGTGACGACACGGTCATGCAAGGAGCGTCACATGACCAGGGCATGCCACAACCCAGCGGCGCGGCGCAATGTCCACACGGGCTTGTGGTCCTCGCTAGCCCATGCTACCCTGCAGTCTAGGCGATCTGCAGATTCAGTCGTGAAGCAATTTTCTACCTGACCATCCTACCCGGCTTGGTCTCAGCAATGCTTACGCGCTTCGCTGACGACGCGGTATTACGCGTCGAGCGCCCTTATACGGGATATATAAGTCTTTGGTTGCGCGCCTGTAGAATTTACCGACTTCTGCTCGGAAGCCTCTGTGTCAAAGTAAAGGATTCATTCAGCCATGAGCAGAGCAGCCACTCGTTGCCATGACAATAGACCTAGCAGCCCGCCCCTGACGCACCTTGACAAGAGCTATGAACTCCTCGTAGCGGACGTCGGCCGGGTACTCGACCCGCTCCCAGCCCTCCGCCGTCAGCTGGCGCGTGACGTCATCCAGGGAAGCGAGGAGCGTGTTGACCCGCGCGTACCGGGGCGCTGTCGGGGTACGGACGGTCATCCACCGCCAGCGCGCGAGGCACGACAGACACGTGGCAGACACCAATGACAGGCACAACCCCTGCCGGCGACTGGTTAACAGTCGCTGCTGATCGAGGATCACGGCAGGGGAAATCACCGCGTAATTCAGCTGGAAGTTGCTAGGTGAATTCAGCACGAGCTGCTGCAGTGGCAAATTCGTTACAGTCGCCATCTGTTGCGTGATGTAACACAGACGCACTGGACATTAAAATGACCAAGCTGAGCGAAGAGTGATCACTTCATGTTTATCCAGCACCAGCTCTACAACAGGGGCGAGCGACCCATGACTGTAACAGCGTTGGACGCACCCCTGTACCGATTCCACTTGATGTGAGCGCTATTAAGAACACAGCGTATCGATCAGTCCTCGTGTCTTCCATTATTGGCCTGGTGTGCCCCAACTAAGGACCCGCCCTTCCAGGTCCAATAGAGGGGGCGCCGACGGTCGAGTAATGAGACGCCGTATCGAGCCAGCTGTGGCGGTACGGTGTAAGGTACTCGGCTCGTGGTTTTGCCACGTCACTGGCGATACCACAGTGAAATCACAGAACTCTCCAATGGCACACAGGCAACGTGGCACCGCCCATTCAAACGCAGAGGAGGGCATGGACGACGGTGTCTTCCTTTCTTTGGTGATCTCACTGACCCATAGAACGCCCACATTGCAATCTGTCCAATATATTGCCTTGCCGTTCTCAGATACCAACATTCCAATTCGCACATAAGTCTTTGCTTTTACTGCCTAAAAGTCGTCCATCGTTCATGAACAAACCTGCCCAGTTTCGTATCTGATCTTCCCGGCGCATACAAAGTTCCATATTCCTACAAACGCATGACGAAAAAATCTAGTGACGGTCCGCCGTAAAGACCTACACAAGACAACAACTGACTTCGTGCAAGTACACAATTCGTGTTCAGCAGCCTGAGGACTGAAACGGTCTTGTAATACCTGGCATAAATGCTAAATCAGAAACAAATCACAACATGCGGACCTGGAATGTAGCCCAAAACAAGGCAGTGAATATTGTATTAATGTGCACCCTGACACGTTCGATCAGACCCGGATAACCCCGCGTAAATTTTCTGCTTCATGACGGCCGACCTCCGGACCGGCAAGGCCTGTGATCACGTGGTTTCACGACAACCGACTCTGTCGTCACAACGAACGAGCAGCCACGAGGACAAGCAGAACGGAGCAAGGCCATCGCGCCAGAGCCTGGTCCACGTCACACAGTCGGCATCGTCCCCACTGGCGACTCGATTCCGTTGTCCACGCCCGTGTCCGCCGGTCGGTCACCGACGCACCTCCGTTACTGTGAGGTCGACACTGACCCTCCCGCGGTGAGGCCGCCACTGTCCGCTTCCGTCACGGTCAGCCGCCCCCCAGCGCCGCCCGGGCCCTCTCACGCCGCGGCACTGCCCACGGCACCGCCGGCGCTCACTGCTGCTTCCTGCCGGCTGGCCAGCTCCTGGCGGCTGATCTGCCGTGGCGCCGAGGCGATCTCGGCGTCCCGCACCTCCTTGTACGCCGCCCCACACGAACATGGCGATGAGCGCGTGCACGGTGAGCACTGCCGCCGCCGTGCCCCACAGGTAGCCGTGCTCGGCGTAACCCAGCGATCCTCGGCCACGTGCACGGCGCCGTAGAACGCCACGAACGGCCAGCGTGAACATGGCCACGCTGTAAACGAACAGGTTGAGCAGCACGTTGGTGCGCGTCGTGCCGTCGCTCGATGGACGAGTGCATGAACCGCTCCTCCGGCAGAACTCATGGCGGCGGCGGCGGCGGCTGACGCGGCGGGCGGCGGGTCACACCTGCAACCAGGCCGGAGTCAGCGGCCGGGCGCGGCGGCGGTACTCACGCGGCGGCGGGCGGGCGACGACGGCGGCGGCGGCCGGCGCGACGGCCGCGGCGCGCAGTCGGTCGGCCCTCGTAGCGCAGCACGGTGAGCACGGGCCCGCGCGCGCGAGCCCAGCCGGCCGGCGCCGAAACAGCAGCTCGGCGGCCAGCAGGCGGGCCGTGCTCGGCTCCAGGCCGGGCTCGGCGGCGAGCAGGCCCGACCGCCGCCAGCGCCGCCCTCCACGGCCGGCGCGTGCTCGACGGCGCGCGACACGAGTGCCAGCAGGCGCCGGTACAGGCCTGAGCGGCGGCATATGTTACCAGGGCGGCGTCAGCGAACGGACGCCGGCTCGGCACAGCACGGCTCCGCCGGACGTGCGGACGCATGTCGCTGACACTCGCCAATGCAAATGCAACCCATTTCTATAGCATGTCTTTCAAATGAAATATTTAAAACCCAACTATAAAAAGGGGCCGCCCATACATCACGTTACGATCCTTACCCCCTTCCCCCCCCCCCCCCCCCCCCCCCCCCCAATCTCCCACCCCAGGTACTCACCCGATAGCACACTGGTAAAGCCGGCCAAGAGATCCCTCTTTCCCGGTTCACAATACTGCAAATATTTCAGCACGAATTACAACCACGTAGGGGAAGAAAGAACGTTGCGCTGTCCGAAACCACCTTCTCTTCGTTTGCGCCTCCATCAAAACCCCTCACCGTCCATGCGTAATACAATCTATGAACGGCGCCAAAAGAAGCATATAACTCGTTTTATAAACCATCCTGTGTGGAGACAAGCTGCGGGCGATTGATGAGCAATGGAAGATCCGAAGGGGCTCAACAGCAGGGCCTAGTGCTGGATCATGCGACTTACTCGCTGTTGACGTGTGGCGTACACCAGAGTCTTCAGGCTCCCCTTCTTTTCTGAATACGCTTTGAGGATCTTCGCCCCTTCTTTGTACAGATATGGGAGCTTGACAGAGTGCTGGTATTTCGATTGTTCTGCTGTTTCAGCTGGCACGTCCATCAGGTATTCATTAAAAGTGCTAGCAATCCTCAATACGCTGACTTCAACCACCGCTCTGAAAAAATAGTCCTGGGGTCCAGACGAGAAGAGCATCGTCATCCAGGTCGGATAAGTTGCAGCAAACATTATGAACAGGGATTTCTGGAAGATGGAAAAAAAACATTTTCAAGCGTATCAATAATTGTCACCAGTATTATGGTGAGTGTGACCAGTATTGGGTAACTGCAGATGCCCGGGAGCATCCTGCAAGTTAGTTCAGTTCAGTTCAGTTTATTGCGGTTACATCCTGGAATACTTCCAGACTTTTCATAAACCACGTCAAGATTAAAAACAAAATAAACGGTAGGCGAGGAAGAACAAGCTCACAAGTTTCACAATTCAAACAACAAAAAATTCACAAACCAGCGCAACAGCCTAGCTCAGCTCAGCTGGTCACCTCGCTGCATACGGTGCATCACATCTGCATTGTAGCGAGGCACGTGCCGGGTGTTTTGCATACAGGATAACAGACGGTTTTAAACAATTTTGCAGCACCGTGGCTAAGCCTACGCTTCCCGGCGTTCGTCCCGGCTCGCGTCACTTTACGTTGTCCTGTCTGTCGAGTGCTGTAGTTGTTCTGGGCGGCCTGGTATAATCCCCGCAAGTTTGTCGGTTGTCCTGTGTGGAGCACGGATTTCGTAAGAGCTAGTCAGTGATATTTTAGTAGATTTTGAGCGGACAAAACGCCTAAACGTGTTGCTTCCTCTGCAATTGGATCGTACTTCTTTTTGCCTGCAATGACACGGGTGCAAAAATTGGCGCCGTATGTTTCGTAAATGGATATACAGTCACGAACTGAGGATATCACAAGTCCTTCCATGTTTTGCCGCAGAACATAGCGCAGAACAAAGTAGCTGGCGGTGGATGAGGGCAATGAGTGTACCAGCACACTTAGCTCTCAGTTGATCAATGTGTGGTTGAAAGCGAGGTCTCTGTCAATCGTGAGACCCAGATTTTTGACAGCTCTGGTTTCAGTTACTGTCAACGTTCCAATTTGGGATCGTAGTTTTGGGAAAATCACGAAGCATAACTTTTGCTCCAATTACCAGAAGTCGAGTTTTTGCCGCCTTAATCTTCATTTTCTGGTTCAGCCAGTAAACAAATTCTGTGAGAGGTCTTCTAACGAATGATAACATCTGCAAGCTGCTCTTTACAGCCACTAATGAGCAGTTCGGGTATCGTCGGCAAGCTGGACCACCGTAGAGCTGTCGGTATACAAGTTCATCTCGTTCGAGAACATGGCAAACATTAAACAGCTCAGGCTTTCCACTTAAATGTCTCCAGTTGTGTTCGGCAGTGACTCGTAGAGGGTTTCACTTCCGTCCCTAAGAGCTATTCTCACCTGTTGAGTGTGTCTCTCAAACTAGTTATCTAGCCCAATGGCTGTCTTCGCCGTACATATTTAGCTTGCAAAGTAATTTTCCGTGATCCATCACGCCAAAGCATTTTGAACGATCCAAGACCACAAACAGAGCAATTTCACCAGAATCCATCGCACGATGCACATGGTCAGTTACTACAGTAAGGGCTAACCACTGCAGCGTCCCCCCCAGATCATAAACGACGCGTTGTGCCCGGTTGTGTCCTTTCTAACCCCATCGTGCGTTGGCCTTTGGAGGTGGGGGGAGTGGGCCAGAACTGTTACCATGTCGAAGTTGGGTACAATGCGCACATGTGCTGTTCTTGCACATGCTGAAAGAATAAGCCTCTATGATAAAGAAGCAGTATGTCGTTGACGTCAAACTTACGTCGGTGGCAGTCTTGATGCGAACGATGACAACCACAACTTATGTCCGTAACAGCCGAACGACCATCGGAATTCATACGCTGATTTGTCGTGTAGAAGTTTTAACGGCAAACTTTATTGCCTGTAGATGTAATGTTGCGTGACAGTGAGTGTAATGTTGCGTGACAGTAGATGTAATGTCGCGTGGACTATAGATGTAATGTTGCATCCATAGCGGCCACGTGTTAAAGCAGCGACGCTTCCACTTAGTTTTGTGTGAAGAAGTTTCCTCGTGCAGTATTTTATCAGCCGAAGATGCATAATGCAGTAATTTTCACAATGAAGCTTGAGTGAGCAGAAGTGACATCGTGTAACAATTTTGTCCGTAGCTACTTTGTCTAGCATGTGTAACATCGCTTAAAGTTGTTTCCGTTGAAGTTTTGTGAAAAGTGTAGAAAATATGTGAAAAAGTGCAGAAATCGTGTCGCGGCAAACATGAGGCTCACACCTCAGTAGAAGCAGTCGTGTACTGACATGTTTCTCCACCCATGCCTGTTCAGCTTTCATTTGAGGAGCTCCAGCCCCTCCCCCATCAACTTTGAGAAGAGGGCCAATCCGGGCATAGAATTGCTTGTTGTCGCGTTCTGGGACAGGCTGCATTTTTTTTCAGAGCTCAGACCCCCCTCCAACTCATTTTCGAGATGTGACGCCTCTACGATGCACCACATGACATTATGGTGTCCGAACAGTCCAAGGCCTTTCCTCTTAGCATGATAATGGTTTTGCCACTGAAATAGCCTCAATGATGTTGAAAACGTTAGAGATAACTTTTATATTTTTTCAAAAGCCCGTATAATTATGACGCATTCAGTCAAGCTGCATGACGTGCTCAAAACGGAAGTTCTCAAGTCCAAAACGTTCTGTTTTTGGAGATAACCATAAATAATGACATGAACTAAAAAAGCATCTACTGGATCAGCAGCATCAATAAAACGCGTTCTCTTCGAGGTTGTGGTTACGGACGAGGCTGCAGTCCATCTCGTTAACGCCAAAACATCCGGAAATGGTTGTAATGAGCAGCCCATCTCGACCTGCTGGCGTGCCTTTCACGGGCTTATAAGCCTAGTCACTAATCCATACCGCCAGCAGGTCTTCAGAAAATATGCCACCATCCTAAAAAGTTGTGCTGGAGTATTTTGAGGGTACTTGCATGCAGTCAGTTTGATTAGGCGCGAATACCCGCAACACTGCAATATCAGCGAGGCTACTCTTCCCTATTCGATTTACGTGGGACGTGACACATTGAAAAAGACCAGTCCAATATGGCTCCAAGTCAGGTCAAGATATTAGCATCCTAAGATTGCAGCAAAGCTGAACCCATTTAAATGTACAGAGAGAATCCTCCAGCGGACCATACAGCTGGAGTGTACACCAAGTCTGGTGGCTTTCAAGTTTGGAACTGCGAAGTCAAACACGAAGCCAACAGCTTTGTATTTTGAAACCTGAAGCTGAATCCAAAGCCAGTGGCTTGGAAGCTCGTACACGCGGTGCCCAAGCCAAAGTCAGGGGCTTTGAGCTTTGGAAAAGGGAAGTTAAAGCTAAACTTATCAATCACCTTATCATAAAACTAGGAGGCCGAAGAAGAAGCCATAGTCAGTGCTAGAGTAAAATGCTGTTTCACAGCAACAAAACCATTTTTGGCATGAACAAACCACCACTATGACATCTGCTACAGCTGTATGGGACAAGAGAGTACCACCTGGGTTTGCAGAGCAATCAATGTAAGGTGTTAAGGTAGGTGGAATGTTTTTGCTTTACAACTGCCTTGTGTTGTGTTATTATACACCTATGACTTGCACCAATTGGTTCACCAGCCATCATTAGGTGTCAACTGTCCCTAGAAATGACCAGGTGCTATTGAGCTCTCGTGATGCATGTGTCATGACCTTGAAACTTTGTGAGGTATGTTGCAGTGACCCAGCTTGCAAGGCCATTTTGTCAGGCACAGTCACTACTGCAGTGAAAACCATCATGACAAAGCTAAAGCCAGCATTTCAAGATCACAAGAAACTGAGGCAGAGATAACAATTCAGAATGCAGTCAGCTGTTAATATGACCCAAACCAAAGTCTAAGCCAGCTGTCTGGAAATAACAACAAATGCAAGCCCCAGCCAGGCATGAAAATGTTCTGCAGTTGGATCTGAATTTAAAGCTATGGAGGAGAACTTAGGCTTCTGAGAAAGACAAACTAGCTGCCCAAAATATCTGCTGTCAGTACCACCAGATCAAGGAGCAAATAATTACATGTTAGTAAAAGTCCGCAAAAAAGCAGCTGTAGATCCACTGGGTTATGGAGCTATTTTAACTAAATAATATTAGAAAGAACCACCAATGAAGATTACATGGAACCAACTATATATTTCAGGTATGACCATGACTCACAGCAGTCTCAAAATCACACTATGTGAGCTTAACAATGAATTTTGCATAACATAGTCCTAAAGCTGTGAAGGAATGAATTTCTGGAATCAGACCACATGCTGAACAGGGTCTGTTGTGTGTACGCTGAGTCTACTAGCCAAATATGGCGTCCAGTTTCACGCTGGAATTTGGCAGCAAAGTTTAGCCTACTGCAATGCTAGGCATTGTCCATCCAGCCCATAGATCTCAAGACCTTGAGCCACTGGCCTTAGGACATCCCAGCCAGGTACAGAGCAATCACAAATGTCATGGATTATAATTTGGATGATATCATTTTCCCTGCCAGCCATATGATCACTTTGACTACAATGACGAGCAGTCAGCACACCCTGCAGCGGATGACTAAGCGACAGATTAACTAAAAAAATTCCTTAATCCCGAAAAACTGGATCTCGAATGACTAACTCACACTGCTATCCTCCAATGGTGACCCTCTTCGCTCCTTCAACGAGCCAGTACTTAGGGTGACTCTTCAATAAATTCACGCGCCACGAGACCCAAACCTCTTCGCGTGTTGCGTTTGTATACCTCCAGTAATTCTACTCCTCGCTTTACCCATTAAAGCACGAAAAGCATGCCTCAGGAACTCACCACCAGTCCACATAAAAAATGCGGCAATGAAAAGACAGCGTCCACCAAAAACCTAGCGGCCTCACGAATGCACGTGATGCGTCACAATCGGTATCAAAATGGTAGCGCATAATATGGTAGCCGCGGATAATTTTGCTTTACTGCTTATTATTCCTTCCCATGCCAACGAAATGTTGACGCAGTGCCGCTTACCTTTGGCTTCCATTGATATGGACATACACGGTCATTTAGAACCAGCTCAATGGCGGTTTTGTACAGGAGCATGCAGAGAAAATTAAGCTCCGGGCGTTCATCATGATGCGGACACGTTCACCTACTGATCACCACCTGCCAAATGCTTACAGCCTTTTCCTATTGATTCAACAGTCGAGATTGGGAGCGACAGCCTTTATTCAGTACGGGCAGAGAAAATCGGCAATGTCAACATGATGATGGAGATTCTGAGGGCGGCTCCAATGGATGCACGTAGGGGTAAGGGGGCTCGAAAACCAATTTTCAAACAAGTTAGAAACTGGCCAGCCAAGACTCGTGCTGTTTTAACGAAAAAAACCCTCAAATCATCGCGCTTACTGTGGCAAGTGTCCGCCGCACTGCCAACTCGACAGTACGAGGCATTCCGTGGACAAATTACCACTCTGTTAAAAGCAATTAGATTAGCAGATTTCGGTGACACTCGCTATCGTTGAATGGCTCCCAGAAATCCTCAGTTTAAATAGCATTAGCGCACCAGAATGCCACCAAATCGCCAAATGTTTGGATACTAGTGGGTGTAAGATTTCGTTTGCCTTGCGACAACTAGCGTAAAAAGTTCAGCGTCTATCACACACACAACATATATTTATGCGCAACATTGTAATCATCGGCTTAGCATTGCTACGCGTGGAATCTAATGGGCTCAGCATTTTCCGACCGCGAGAATTTAAACACAGGAGCTCAAAGAAACAGATGCTCATGTTCGTGCAAGCTATCTGCACTTTCCCGATCATGCTCCTAGCGCCCACGAATGAAAGACAGCGGCATACGTGCAAAACCGAGTACTGTTATATTGGCACTTGTAAGAGCGGGATTCATGATGCTCCCATAGCGTAGAACATCTGACTACAACTCCTTTTATAGCACAGCCAACTTCCGGCAAAGAAGGTACACGTCTCGATGCATATACAGGATCTGTCTCACGGCCAGGTCACGAGGAAAGGCTGTACTCGATGACCCCTGGCGTGTGGAACAACTGGGAAGGCACAGGCTACTGACATACGTTCCCGTCGTACGCCAAAGGCATCTCCGCGAGGAAGAACACGACAATGACAGCGTGATAGGCATTCCACATTTTGAACCTTCGATGCATAAAGCCGATTACACATCCATGCATCTGCCTGTCATAATCTGTGGTGGATAAGCCAAATGGTACGTGCACTTGGCTGATACGATTGCTCGTGCCCCGCGATGGTGATTCGAGCGACAGCTTCAGGCATTTCGAGTATTGAGAAACACACGCTCGTGCTCAAAGGTGCCCAGCGAGTGCAGAAATGGTGTGGCATATGACCATCCATCACGATCTCAGGTTACGGAACAAGCAAATTTACAGCTGTCTTAAAACGTCGCAGTAAACAGCATAACCATAGTATGAGTAATGGCAGCAGTCATACTGCAAGCGGGCAGCAAGCTATTGAATATTGAGCACCTCGGACATTCCCTGGGTTTCAACAGCCATATTGAGGCTTGGCCTAACATAAATGGCGCACAGATACGTCTATAACTTGCCTTAAAAGACAGCAAGGTGTATACCCGAGAGTACAATATCCAAGCAACGGCCATTTTATATGGACTGGTCAGATACTTATAAGGTTCCTTGTGGTTGCGACACCACTGGCCACACTTCCAAACCGGCCGCACGCTGGTAGCGTCGCTGATCAACGGTCACCCAGGTGACCAACCGTCCGGCTGTCGTCCAGCTGGGCTCCAGTGACGTCACTGGTCCCCGGTCATTAGGTGGCCGGCCGCCCAGACGTTGTCCGGCTGGGCTCCAGTGACGTCACTAGTCAGCGATCAAGAGGTGGCCAGATGTCCGGTCGTCGTCCGGCTGGGCTCCAGTGACATCACTGGCCCACGGTCAAGAGGTGACCTGCCGCCCAGTCGTCGTCCGGCTGGGCTCCAGTGACGTCACTGGCCCACGGTCAAGAGGTGACCAGATGTCCGGCCGTCGTCCGGTTGGGCTCCAGTGACGTCGCTAGTCAGCGGGTCGCGAGGGTGATTCGCAGTCCAGTCGTCGTCCGGCTGGGCTCCAGTGACGTCACTGCCGGCTCTCGCGTAGCCAGGCGGTGATGAGGCGGCCACTCTGCGCCGAGCCGCCCGTCAGCCCGGCCAGGTCCGAGGCTGCGCGCCGGGTACATGTTGGCGCAGTGGGCCGTGCCTGCGGGCCACGGAGGCAGCGTCAGTAGCCCACGTGCGGCTGGTGGACGGCTGAGGCGACAAGCCGCACAGCCACGTCCGTCGGTCGGCGAGGCGGACGTGCGGTTGTGCGGTGTGCGGTGTGCGATGTGCGATGTGCGGCGTGATGTACCGGGTGGCAGACCAGTGTTCTGGCCGCGCAGGGGTGACTGATCGGCAGGGACAGCCAGGCGGACTACACGATGCCGACACCGCTAGGAAGTCCTGCATGATGTCTATCGGCCCAGCCGGCCGGCACACACTCTGCTACACTGAGGCTAGCGCCGGCGCGGTGCGGCTGTGAGGCTGTGATGTGACGCGCACAAGAGGAAGCAATGACAGCCTTCTACCTGTCAACGCCATCCACACAAACAAAACATTACTGATCACCAGGACACGTGTACGGCGACACCCGAATGCCTCGCAGACTGCACACATCAGCCGCCGACAGTCACCACCGCCCCTCTCAGCGCTTGCCGGCGTGCTGAGACGGCGCCCGGCGCGCGCGCCACTGACCGTTGATGTAGATGACGGGCGGGTGCCGGTGGCGGGTGGCCGTCCGCCCCATGGCGTGCCAAGGATCGATGCTGCTGCGTTGATGAACACCACGCGCCGCACGCGCAGCCCGCGGCCGCCGTAGCGCACGTTCGTCGCCGCCACAGCCGCCTCGATGAACACCTTGTTGAACCTGGCAGCAGTGGAGGGCTCGATGTGCGTGTGGCGGCGGGGAGGGGCAGCCATCCCCGGCGTCTCTGGGCTCGCCGGGGAAATGGTGGTGAACACTGAAGGCGGCACAAACGCTGGGAGCACTGGCGGCAGCCCGTCGGCCCCAACGTCGGGAATGGGAGGGGGTCAACCGTGACGTCACTTTGCTGATAGGGGAACCACGGAGTGCGACAGAAACCAATAATTACTCTATATTGTATAGAAATAACTAAATATATATACATATAATACATATAAATATATTATATAATTGCATATATATATATATATATATATATATATATATATATATATATATATATATACAATATACTTATACTCAAACTCAACTCGAATTGAGGAGAGAGGCCGTGTGGGCAGTACTCCTTTCTTCGACATCGTAAAGCCTCGGTGCTCTCAAAACCAGGGTGACGCATCCCATCACAAACGGGCTGGTTGCAACGACACCCACTGCCCGGACCCCTGCCGGAGCGGGCCGGGCGACGGGCGGGGCCGCAGCAGCGTGGGCCAGCGGCTCGTGCTGCGCGGGAGACACGTCCCCGGCCAGACGACCGAGCCACGGCGGTGCCGAGCTCGGCTACGCCAGCACCGGGGCGAGCCCACACTGCTTCCTCAGGAGACCGGTGCCAGCGAGGCGAGACATCAGCTGTCCCGACGACCGGCCGAGCGGCGGTGCACCGTCAGCCGGCCTCCACGGTCCAAAAGGTCACATGTTACCTGGTTCCAGAGCAGATGACTCTGTGCGACCGCCGAGTGGTCTGGCGGGCTCGCTCGCCACGGCTGCCGCGGAACGGCGACGCTCTGTCAGCGGCCACCACATGGAAGCCAAAAACAAGCGGCAAGGGACACGACACGTGGACGAGGGGCGGACAAGGGAAAGGGACAAGGGACAAGGGACAAGGGACATAGGAGGGGGCAGGACAATGGACGAGGGTCAACGAGACACGGGCATGGGACGAGGGGGGCGGGACAAGGGACAAGGGAACACGGGACTAGGACGAGGGGCGGGACAAGGGACAAGAACAAGGCACAAGGGAACAAGGGACATAGGACGAGGGGCAGGACAGGGACGGGGGTCACGAGACACGGGGCATAGGACGAGGGGGCGGGACAAGGAACAAAAGGGACAAGGAAAGGGACATAGGACGAGGGGCGGGGGACAAGGGTCAAGAGACACGGGCATAGGACGGAGGGCGGGACAAGGGACAAGGAACAAGGACACGGGACACAGGACACTGGAAGAATAGGCGGGACAAGTGACACGGGACAAGTGCCCGCAGCGCCGCGGGGCGGACAGTCGCTCACTTGGGGCGTAGGGTCCACACACTGCTGCACGGAGAAGGGAGCGGTAAAGCGTGGCCGAACGGCTGCCGACGAAGTCGGAACGTCTGGTACCAGCCAAACTCTGAACACTCTGGTAGATCCACTGGCGCACTGCCGGCGACACGGTCAGCTGGCTCGCGCCGGACAACGCTCGGCGCCGGCCCTGTCCGCGCCGGGCCAGGGGTGCTTCACACAGAGAAGCCGTGCTGTACGCGACCCACCTTCCGTTACGCGGTCAGAAATCGCAGCTTCACTGGGGTAAAAGGACACAACGCCAAGGGCAGGAAACAAACATAGTAACGGTAGAGAGAAAAAACATTGCCACGATTAGGAAGCAGACACCAGACTTCAAGTAGCACTGATGGCTGCACACGGGGCGCTAAGCGAGACAGAAACACGGGGGCCATGTGTGGACTGGCTGGTGGCTCAGCAGGCTGAGCCGGCCCTGACTCGTGTCACAGGATGAGCTGGTCCTGACTCGTGTCACAGGATGAGCCGGGCCTGACTGTGTCACAGGTTGAGCCGGCACGAGTCATGCCACAGACTATACCGACCCTGACGTGTCACAGGCTGTGCCGGCCCTGACTCATGTCACAGGCCATACCGACCCTGACTCGTGTCCACGGCTTTGCCGACCCATGACTCGTGTCACGGGCTGAGCCGGCCCTGACTCGTGTCACGGGCTGAGCCGGCCTGACTCGTGTCACGGGTGAGCCGGCCCTGACTCGCGTTACAGGGCTATACCGACCCCTGACTCGCGCCACGGCTGAGCCGGTCCTGACTCGTGTCATGGCTATACGACCCTGACCCGCGTCACAGATGAGCCGGCCCTAAGTCATGTCACATGCTGTGCCGGCCCTGATTCGTGTGACGGGCTGAGCCGGCCCTGATTCGTGTCACGGGCTGAGCCGGTCCTGACTCGGTCACGGGCTGAGCCGGTCCTGACTCGTGTCACGGGCTGAGCCGGTCCTGACTCGTGTCACGGGCTGAGCCGGCCCTGACTCGTGTCACGGGCTGAGCCGGCCCTGACTCGTGTCACAGAATGTGCCGGCCCCGACTCATGTCACAGGCTGTGCCACCCCAGGCACTTCACTGCCGTTGTTGTCGGGGCTGTCGAAGCTCTCCTGTCGCATCTTCTTCATGGCCGACTCGTAGGTGTAGTCTAAGCACTTGTCACCATGGGCTGTCATCAGCAGGTTGACCTCGGCCATCGGTCCAGCGCACCACCCCGCCCGCTGGTCATGATCTGGAGAGGCCAGACCCCGCCCGCTGGTCATGATCTGGAGAGGCAGACCCCCCCCCCCCAGTCATGATCTGGAGAGGCAGGCCCCGCCCTCCGGTCATGATCTGGAGAGGCAGACCCCGCCCCGCGGTCATGATCTGGAGAGACAGACCCGCCTGCTGGTCATGGTCTGAAACAGGCCCCACTCACTGGTCATGGTCTGGAAGGCAGACCCCGCCCATTGGCCATGGTCTGAGACAGACGCTGCCCATGGGTCATGGTCTAAAGACAGGCCCCGCCCACTGGTCATGATCTGGGACAGACCCCACCACTGGTCATGATCTGGGACAGACCCCACCCACTGGTTATGATCTGAGAGCTGCCCAGGGGTCATGGTCTGAGGCAGACCACATCTACAGGCCAACCAAAACAGACCTTGTCCGCCCAATGGTCTCGCCTCGTCTCGTAAGATGCATCTCAAAAAGCTTGCTGTGCTCGTGATTATCACACCCTCGTCGCACTCAAGCAGCTGGCGGCCTGGTTCAGGCCAACTCACGTCGCAGAGCGTGGTGACGGTGATGTTGGCGTCCTTGGCGCCCTCGAAGGCGCGGTTGTCCTTGTTGTACTGGACGGTGCTCTCGAAGAGGTCGGCCAGGCTGGAGACCAGACTGGATACGTCCCTCCGGCGCCGAGACGTTTCAGCGGCGCACACAGTCTGCGGCGCAGCCACAGCCAGAGCTCTAGGCCCACACTGCCCAAGCAGCATACACTACCAAAATACATTACCACCGAATAACATGCATATATATATATATATATATATATATATACATATGTTGGTAAATTCCTACACTGAAGGAGAATATTTTTCTTTCAGCCACAGGTGAGTATACGTTGAGGCATAATTGGCCCTTAACAATCTTTTCTAAGTCCTGGCAAACCTTCACACTGAAAATTTAGTTTTGTTGGGTATATCATGGATATTTCCCAGTCATCAAACATGTCACAAGCATGAGGAACATGAACATTTCACTTCACACTCGATGTTTCATAGATACATTCTCTCCCACAAGGTACAGCAAATTTTGAATCTTAGTGATCTATATATATATATATATATATATATATATATATATATATATATATCAACACGGTAGCGATGACCCGGCCGGCTTCTCCCGACGGCCGTTGGCCGGCCACATCTGCGGCAGTGGTGGAGCGCGGCCCGCTCACTCACTGGAACTGTTTGGTGAGCTGGCCGGCGTCGCCGCCGCCGATGCGCTGCTCCAGCTCGGAGAAGGCGGCCGCCACGCCGCTGTAGCACTCCTGGCCGGACTCGGAGCGCAGCGCGTCAGAGACCACCGACAGGAACTCTGAGGGTGACCGCGGCTCGCCAACAACGGGGGGGGGGGGGGAGGCGACGAGGGCCGCACGGAGCCCCGCGGAGAAGCGCCAGTGTACACCCGTCAAAGGCTTGCAGGTACTACGGAGCCCCGTCTGCTTCACACAGGGGGGTGGACTTTTAACAACTGGCTAAAAAATGTGACGGTTGAACCATTAGTAGTACTTAGCCTCTATTATACAAACGCCAAACTTGACATAAGGCGATCACATCGCACCTAAGTATCGTTACGCATCGCATTGTTTGATTACCACTGGTCTTTTTCAAATACGCCAATTGCCAATACGAAATACCTTCTGATGGTCTACAGCGAGGCCAGCTGGAAACTTTATGTTACAGACAGAGCCCCACTGGAGTCGCGCACCGCGTGTGGCGATGCCGCGCGGTTTCTGACCGACAGATCGCGACCCTGGCCGGCGCCCCGGCCGGAGACCCCACACGACAGATCGCGACCCTGGTCGACGCCCCGGCTAAAGACCCCCCACGACAGATAGCAACCCTGGCCGGCGCCCCCGGCTGGAGACCCCACACGACAGATCGCGACCTTGGCCAACGCCCCGGCTGGAGACACCCCACGACAGATCACGACCTTGGCCAACGCCCCGGCTGGAGAACCCCCCACGACCAGATCGCGACCCTCGTCGACGCCCCGGCTGGAGACCCCACACGACAGATCGCGACCCTGCCCGACGCCCCGGCTGGAGACCCCACACGACAGATCGCGACCCTGGCCGACGCCCCGGCTGGAGACCCCACACGACAGATCGCGACCCTGGCCGCCGCCCCAGCTGGAGACCACACACGACAGATCGCGACCCTGGCCGACGCCCCGGCTGGGGACACCCACAAGACAGATCGCGACCCTGGCCGACGCCCCGGCTGAAGACCACACACGACAGATCGCGACCCTGGCCGACGCCCCGGCTGGAGACCACACACAACAGCCGTCACGGGGCACGCGCGGCCGACTCACCGTAGAAGTTGGTCTGGGCGTGCAGCGGCGCGCTGCTCGAGACGGCCGCGTGCACATGTGCGGGTACTTGAGCCGGTACCAGGCGGCCAGGCTGCCCGGGTACGAGCCGCCGAACGCCACCCAGCGCGTGCTGGCGTCGAGGCCGTGCTGCACGTTCATGGCGGCCGAGAAGGCGGCCAGGTCGGCCAGCGCCTGCTCAGAGCTCAGAAAGCGCAGGTTCTTGATGTTCATGTCCCTACAACGGGTCAGAGGGTAGGATGTGAGGACGGAGATATGCCACCATTAGCTCTGTTATTTGCCTACCACGGTATCAGCATGCACATTTGCGCGTTTATTCGCACGGGTTTACAGCGATGTCTTCCTCTCAGAATTCCTGCACAGCAATGAATTGTACGCGCCTCTGGGGCCATCAGCCAGTCATGTGATTTTGGTTTTAACGGACTACTTTATCCGCGGCCCATTCTATGGACATTCATAGGAATCGCATCAGTGTCATATCAGACAACGCCACGATCACCCCACATTACAATGATACCGCTCTGTGGCAGGTTGCCACATCACCATGCATACTTGTAGGGGCAGACCGTCTACACTATCTGGGATTCGAACCCACTGTCTGTGAGCCAGTCCCCCAATCAGCGCCCTCGGCTACTACAACCTGCGAAACGGCTGGCCTGAACAGTCACGCCACGAGGCTCCAAGACGTCACCAGCCTCAGCCCACTCCAGGCCGTCCCACTTGGCCGTGGTGCCGCACGCACTCGGTGGGGTGGCTCTTCCCGTAGAAGCGGTGCTCGAGCAGGAAGCAGAGGGCGTTGTGCTGCCTGGCGTACTCGATCCCACTGACCGGCCACCATCCAGACGGGGCTGGCCTTGCCCTCGCCGCCGATCATCAGGAACGCCGGCCCGCCCGGCTTGTAGAAACGAGTCGTTCGTGAAGTAGCGCTGCGGAGAAACACGGCGTCGATTCGTCGGAGGAAAGCGATCAAGCCGCGCCAGAGACGGGCAGGCATCAGCAGGCTGTTACGGCCCCAAACAATGATAAGTCGCAAGAGGGTGGCGCAGCTCCAGCGACCAACGACCAGGGCAAGGGCGATGCAGTACCCAAGACCAGGCAGCAAAGTTGGAGGAGGGCGATACAGTTGACATGATGCGGGTGGTGGCGCGGGTGTTGCGAGCGACTCGGCACAGACGAGTCGCGCCGCCGACACCGGCCCGTGACCGTCACCTGTTGCCAGGTGCGCAGGTCACTGGGCTGGGAGTGGTCCAGCTTCTGGGTGAACCACTGGTCTGGTGGCAGCGGGCATTGTGGACGTTCGGTGGTGGGCAGTAGGAGGCCGTGGACGTCGTGACGGCGCAGACCGACGCAGCTGCCGCACACGGCCAACACCACCAGAGCAGCGAGCACTGCACCTGTAGAAAACAGGGCACAGTTGTGACCAGCTGTTGCCATACCAGACCTGTGGAAACAGTGATGCTTACATCCAGCGTGACACAGACGTCGCATGACAGTCGTCATATGCTTGTGACAAAGGCTACAGCAATGGTCAAATGGGTTCAGGAACAGGGGCCAGGCAATCATTAGATATCCCTAGGGTCAATCTGCTGCCTTTTCAGCTCCATCATTCTTAATCCCAAAATAGCAGGGGTGTTGCATCAATCCCCTTCATCTGTTGATGTGAAAAATGATGAATAGGAATGAGGGTACTGTACTACTATCCACTCACAAACCTAAGCTGGTTGTCTACAATATTCCCCAGGTCTTCCTTGGTGGCCAACTCTTCAATAATACATTGCCACCATTCAGAATCCAGGTGCAGTCTGGGAGCAATAATAAATAACTGATAGGAGCAATAACAAATCACATCACATATTCACAACATTTTCTACCCTTCCCCCAGTTATGAACTTGTATGCTGGATGCAAACCCTCCCCCATAGGCTGTGATAAGCATAACATAATATCTCAGAAAGGTAGCATCCATGGGGCCTGCTAGAGGTGCCAAAATAAAGATGAACATGTTGCTTGTAATGAATAAAAGCAGACAGTCTTTGGTTTAAGCATTTCAAAACAGGTCAAAAGATACCTTACCATGGTTTGCAGCTACACTTAAGTGTACTGATGACCTGACCAAACCATTCTCCCCTTATTCCACTTTGGTTATGCATGATTAAAACTCCTCCCCCTTCCATGTGTAACATTATAGATGAACAGTTCATGGGAGTTCCCATGTGCATGTGCATCACCTTGCAATTTGACCCATTGAATACAAGTGGCCCTTCACTAAGCACCTCAACCAGGCAACCAAGCAGACCTTGAGTTAATGTCCCATGGGTGATATAAGCATCCAACAACACAGCTAAGTGCAGTCCCCAAACAACAAAACACCAAAGTTTTCTATAACTCAACAGCTAAATTTTCACACTCATTCTTGCTGAGGCAGGTCACTTACCAAGGGTGCAGCCAGCACTTTCTTATGAGGTAGGGGTGGGGAGGGGGAAGAGCTCAGTGGGAATGCTTACACAGGTTTTTAACTTTCTATCAGGAGCCATCTACAACAATATGAGAAAGCAGCCCTGAGGGGGCTCCAGGCCCTGAACCCTCCTTGCTTTACTCCTGTCATCTAAAGATGATGTTAACAGGATTCGACCTAAAGCATGCCACATGTGATGGATGTTACTAGTCACCGCTATCCCACTGAACTTTGAGCCCTTACCTAGCACCACCCTAGCCTTCCAGCCTATCAGGAATGCTAAATCTGTGCAGAAGACTACCACTTACCCTGCTAGTGCAAGATTTAGACATGTATCCCTAATTGAGGCTAGTTGGTTACTTGATTTGAAGCTTTAAAACACCCAGATCAACTGGCCACATGACCTTGACCTGAGCTTGACCCAACATCTCAGAAGCTCAGGACCTCCACATAAAACATCAGTTTTAGGCTCACCCCATAACCCTGAGATTACGTCTCCTATTAGATTGGCTGAATACAGCTTGTTTCATTGTCAAAACAAGTGAGCTTATCGTAAGTGTAGTGGTTTCACATTTTTCATTTTTAAACCATTTGTATCTAAACGGCATGCAGTGAAGTATGCCACAAACTGCAGATGATGCCCAATTGGTGGTGAGTAATCACGGGTGTATATTTGAAATTTCTGAACCCACGTACATGGTCTATTTCACCCTTTCACTGGCGACTGACAAATGACGGTGAAACTGATGCACAGAAAACACGACTAATTGCACTAAACATAGATCGTTTCTGAAGCCCGAATCAAATGCGTATAGATCCGTTCACACCTCACCTCTCATTCTTCAAAAACTCAAACCACACCTATAAGTGTGCTTAGGCTATCTGATGATGCCTCAGTCCATTACAAACTTTATCACAAACAGCAACGCATCAACGCATCACGCATCATCCGCATCAACTTGACTACAACAATACACTTGTTCGGAAGTTCACTATCGAAACATGAACGCTGTTTTGCGCCCCAAACTAGAAGCACCATATCTGAAATGAAAGATACAAAATCTAGCATAAATTGCTTATAAATCTCAAGTTCGTCATGACATGATTGATTTTGCCCGAGTTACAATGCGGTGTCGGTATAAAATCTGCGATCAATGAAATTATAAGCCATATTTTGTTTAGTGTATACATATTTCGTGTTTATCATTGTATATATAAGGCGTTATGTACGTTTTTATATGCATTATTTCGCTGACTCAAATTGCTCGATCTACACACCTGAGAGCACACGTGACACACAATCAAGCCTGGATGACGTCATTTAGAGTCTTGATGGTACCTGCTTTTTATAGTACCTTGCCGGCGAGCAAATGTCGATGTGCGAGATTTTGTTGCACTGAGGGCTGGCCTTTGCTCCGTGTTAACACGGGAGGTAAAAGCGTTGTGATGTGTTGTGGTGTGTAGCATAATGCGAGTTTGCAACCCGTTCTATGCAACTTTTAGTTGTACAATTGTACGCCTTTTTTAGCTCACCGTGCATCTGAATGTTAGAACGCTAAGAGCGCGCTGCACGGAGGACGGAATATAATTTTAGCTGGATAACAGGTAGATAAGCCTTCCGGTTGTTTTATACTGAACGTCAATATTGCTTAAACGGTCTTCCTTGAAAACTTCTCATTTGGCAGTCACTTGTATGTGAGGCAGAATGCCAATGTAAAACATCATTATTGTTTCTGTCATTTGCATGTCAGTGTGATATGGAATGTTGGTTTCTGAAGTCCATAATATGACCTTCCAGCACCCTACCTTGTTTGGTTATATGTATGGTGCAGCACCAGATATATGACCACAAGCCAGGTAACCAACCAGATATATGGGTCATTTTCTGTCAGGTATGTGTAGCACCAGATATATAGGACAAAACTAATGGGCAAATGTGATCCCTGGCTTCATAGAAGTGAAAATGCTTATCTAAGCTGTACCAGTTACATGAAAATGCGTGTAGGTGTTGATATAAGGGACAGTTCCAGAACATTACCTGGAGTATGCTGGTTTGGAGGGAGAAGTGCAAAGGATGCCTTGATTCTCAAAAAGTCCCAAATTGTTTTCACTTACTCTTAAGGGTATTCTGAAGTACATTCCCTGTAAGGACTGCTTAGATTGATTTTTACATCTAAATTTTTATTTTGCCCAACTTTGGTGATGGGTTCTGGTATTTTGCAGGTGTGTATGTTCCCAGGAATGCATCCTGCATTCTTAAGGATATTTCCATGGAGACACACACAATACTTTGCTTAATTTACCAGTTTTTTCTTAAAATCTTTCTTTAGTCACTCTTGCACAGAGCCAAGCTTTGGCACTTTTGACATGAGGCTCTGTTTCAAAGGGCCCTGAGCTTCTCTTATGACAGCCTGTGAACACAGATGTCTTGCTCAGCCTGCTGACCCATTGCTGGTTGTCATGACTTCTAGCCAGCACCTTAGTTTCTATGTGGAGTAGAAATTGTAACTGTTGAGATGTAAGAAGAGAAGATACTAACAGCAGGAATATGCACACACACACACCAGCACCATACAAAAATTTGAGCTTCATCTTACGTATCCACAGTATGTGGGTCTGCTCTGGATACAGGCCAGTGCAACCCTCTACCCCCATCTGTACAGAGCTGAGGCTCAGGTTTATGACAGCAATGCCCAGCAACACTACAAGTGACTGCAAGTCTGGATTGACTGTCAGTGTAGCCCTTTGCTTCCATCCATGCCATCTGCAGGGTTGAGTCTGTCTCCATCATGGCAAGGCCCAGAGAGCCTGAAACCAGTCACATGTCACATGCAGTTGTGGTGGCCCCCTCCTGCAGGGAGGGCCCCTCCCTGCACCCTTCAGGGCCTTAGTGCCACTTGTGACTGGTGTGCCCCATGCACAGCTCGCGCCATGGCGCCAGTGCAGTCAATCGGCAGCGCAGTTTGTGCGGGTGAAGCGTTCCGGCCGCGCGTGGCCGTCATGACCTCGCCCGAGGCCGATGCCGTCTGCATGCGGAACGACCTGACGCTGACGGAGCTGCTGCAGCCCTTCTGCCAGCTCAACACGGATGGTGAGGGCGCCGCTAAGGTCACGGCCGAGGTCACGGCGCCGGCGCGCTGTCGGCCGCATCTCAAACACGCTGGGCTTCGCGGCCGGTGCGTTCGCGTTTGCCCTCTATTCATTGTCTTCGCGATCCATGATATGGTATGTCTGACGTATTGTTTGCAGGGTCTACAGCGATGTGCGGCGATTGCCTTCCATTGTCCGGCCTCAGCTCTGCTCGTTACGACATGTATGACGTCACATCTCTCCTTGTTACGGCGTGCCTGGACGACGTCACATAAGGAGTGACGTGGCGTCACACGCCACAAATCTCGGAGCCTGCTCCAGTGGCATGTCACGGCCCGGGTCCCGGGTCATTACGCCGGCAGCGTGATAAATTACGCAGTATCCAGCGCATCGCGCAGCAGCTTGATTGCCACTGCAGTGCAGCGTTCTAAAGCGGCCGGCCTCCCCGCGCACCGTGCCGGTGTCAGTGCAGTCCGGCCTCCCCGCGTACCGTGCCGGTGTCAGTGCAGTCCGGCCTCCCAGCGCACCGTGTCGGTGTCAGTGCAGTCCGGCCTCCCCGCGTACCGTGGCCGGTGTCAGTGCCAGTCCCGGCCCTCCCCGCGTACCGTGCCGGTGTCAGTGCAGTCCGCCCTCCCGCGTACAGTGCCGGTGTCAGTGCAGTCCGGCCCCCCCGCGTACCGTGCCGGTCTCACCGGTGGCCGTGCCGGTTTGCAGTGACTAGTACCGGGACCCGCTGGGGACGCAGGTTGACCGTGCGCGAGCTGCACCTCTTGGCTGGACGACTGGAGCCCTGTCGGCGCCGCCGCCGGCGCACCAGGCCAAGCGCCAGCTCTCCGACGCCGTCTCCCAGAGTCAGCTGCCGCTGCCGGAGGACGGCTCGGTGCGGCCCCCAACACGCCGTGGTTCGAGTCCTGGCGAGACGCTTCCTGCAGGTCAGTGCGAGCGCCCGCTCGCCCTGGTGCTTCGAGCTGCGCGTGCTGGCCCGCACGACGCCTCCTCAGGTCACGGGATCGGAGCGGTGAATGTGACGCGGCGCGGGCGAGCGCTGGCATGCACCGCTCAGCGCCGGCGCGGCACCGTACAGATCCGCGTGGAGGGTGATGCCAACCAGTATGGACTGTTTCTGGCAGTGTCGTTTATTTTGGACAGAATCGCGAGGAGTGCCCCCTTTTTGCGTAGATGTAGCAGTTCCACGGAGATATAGAAATTCTGGTACTGTCTGGACTGACTGTTTTGTGCAAAGTTCAGCAACTTTATCCGTAGACCGGAACGCTTAGTTTCCGTAGCTGTTCATGCGTGGTCACAAAGTCATAGCCAAGATATACTTTGGAGTCATGGGAAGCATAAAAAGCCTTTCATTCGTGTAGTTTTTGCCTCTCTGTGGCATTGTACAAAGTTTGCTCCCACTGTTTTATGTCAGGTACGTTTGTTCAAAGCGTTCCGTTGAGAATTTCGGCCGCGATCAGCCTCGTTCCCGTTCTTTCTCCATCCTCATTTCTCCCTAGTCCTCCTCTTTCGTGGTGAGTGGTCCGGAACTGAACTCCCCCATTGACCCTGTAACGGGCTGTGACCAGAG